GTGATGGTGGCCAAACCAGGGGAGATTCCTCACCAGATAGCTAGCCTCACCACTGCACCATATAGATTTTTTTTATTATATTTAGTGGCATGCACATATAAAATCATTTTGACCTATCTTAATTGTTTATGTTACACTTATAAGTTTATCCTAGAACGGCACGTAAGCCTGCCATCTATGTGTTGGTCGAATGTCATTGTTTACTTTGCATTTACAGGCTAGAGATGACTCAGATTGTCATAGCCTTCTTATAGCAAGATGAGCGACAAAACAGCTGTAGCTAGGCTTACTTCTACCCATCCATGGCAATCTTGGACAAGGAACTAGCACCCAGGTCTCTCCGCAGTTTATATTCTATCCCAAACATTACTCCTACCATTTTAAGCCAATATAAATCTCTTTAAGTCACGCGTAGCTTTAATATTTCATTTCAATATGATAGAAATGTAGAATAAGAACCTTTAATAAATTGGGTGGTGGAATTCTTCATTACGGTTAGCAGTTAGAAACCGCGTCAAAACGCTCTAGTATATTGTTGTAAGGATTTTAAAAAGTTACATGTAAGGCGGCAAAACATAGCAGAGGTGGATGTAAAAATTAATTAGATCTAGTCTAATCTTTTAACGAGGTTACACATGCCCTTGTGAAAAAAGGGGGGTCGCACAAGATTGTGCGACAGTACACAGGTGTGTATTACATAGTCAGCGTAATAACACAGTGGTGTGGCTACACCGTTATAAGAAGCCACCAAGTGGCAGAATTGCCAGTAGTAATGCATATCTCTATATTAATTAGGTCTTGCCATGTTAATTAGGCATTACTATTAGATATTGGCGGCTCTGCCGCAACTAAAACAATTAAATAAAGTTGCTTTTTTGAGCAGATGTGCTCGTTTGCTTTGAAAAGGCTTTTGAGCTTAAAAGTAGTGGATTGTGATCCGCTACACTAGTACTGGTTTCCTCGCTTCTGTTTTACATGTCTCGGGCTTTTATTCGACTTACAAATACTTATCAATATTCGGTGCAATACGCTTTACTGTATCTACCGTCCAAGCCTGGGTATATTGACTCTTTCGTGAGTAAACAGATCTTATACGCTTGAAATAGCTGGATAAGTTAAGCCATGTCTTTTTCTAGCAATCTTCATGATCTTCACCCACGATGTGTATTGTGTTGAACTTATTTGGCAGCTCAACAATTCGCGCTCCCGGCAATGCCTTAACTAACATTTTTGCTAGCGTGTCAGTTGACCTGACGTCGTTTGATATTACTTGTCCGATTAGCAATTTAAATTGAATTGCTCGTCAACTTGGCTTATGCTTACCATGGTTCTTTCAAGTATACATACTTTACCGCTACTTTATTGTCCATCCAAACAAAAACATGTTTTTTAGCCTTCCGATGAAACCCACAAAATCTCTTCGAGTTCAAATGCTCCTTGCCTGTTTTGGGCCTAACCACAAACACCGATTTTTTTGTGCTTAGCATCACACCCGTCTGCTTTTGCATTACACCAAACCTCAGATTTCATTTCCTTGTCAGTCGTGAGTCTGATTTACTTCCTACGACAAGCTGCAGATTCTTGGTCTTCTTGAGACATCGTACGTTTTTTTGTCTTTCCCAGCAAATCGAGTATGGATTTATAACTCCTTGCGACCTTGTGTACTGCAATGCTCGGTTCAGATCAAGTTCTTTATAAAACATTCCATTAAGGACGAATAATGCTTGTCGAGGCCTGTATATTTGGCACCGTTATGAGCTGCGTATTGGATCCAAAATGTCGATCGCGTGTTAAATATCGTTTTGCATTGCAGAGCTCAATCCACTGACAGGTATGGTGGAACAGCGCAACGCCACTTCGCTGTGGCGAAAACAAACAGTAGTTATGTCAATTGAAGAAAAAGACATGCGTGTGCCCAGAAGGGCTGATATCGGTTATTGATCGCTTGGTCTTGCTGTGGACAGCGCCGTAGTCAGAAAGTGATGGCGAACACGAGTAGATATTATCACGGCCAAACCACACCAGCTATATCGTTTTGGTGTTTGTCGCAGACCCGTATCCAGCACTAAGGTGATCTACTTTATGATGAAGTCATCAAGAAGGGCTTCACAAAAGAAAAAAAAGAACAAGATGGTTCTCCGACATGGGTGCTGTTATTGATGCTTCTCTCCGCGAAAATCACGTTTCGCAAGTGAATTTCCCTGCATCCCAGCACTGGTTTAACTTACTCTCTGCGGCCTCTCACTACGTCGTCGCAACAACTTGATTATTCTGATCATCAAAGTTGTCGTCGAGTGTGCGGTCATCTACATGCGCTTTCTGCAAGAGCAGCGGCTACGTATACATCTCAACCAGACAGTGTTGATATATGAAACCGCTGTGAGTTTCGATGGGCTGACGATCTCATGTTCAAGCGCTGAATCGAACTGCAGTGCTCTATGGTAAATGCCAGCAATGAAAATTTTCTGATTTGGAAATCGTTTAAATATCATATCTCGAATGATGTCAAGGCGAAGTGTCAGATGCTTGACATCGAGATCTGGTCTGGTGGTTGCACTTCGTATCTCCCGGCTGGTGGTATCGGCATTTATCGATACTTCAAGGACACAATCGTATCAAGAGCCTCATCCAAAACGTCAAGGCTTAAAATATCCACATCCATACTGTAACGGGGTGACACGAACCCTAATAACAGGGGTGCGTGCGGGTCACACGAGATGTGTATAATGTGACCACACACCCAAATAAGAATACGGGACGAGGCTAGGTAGCCAGTAGGTTTGAATGTATTTAGATTTTCTCTATATATGTAGTATATTTAGGAAAATTTTAACATAAGAATAAAAATGTAAATAACAATCAGTTTTGATTTTGAGCAGAAGAGTTCGTTTGCCTTGGTTAAGGCTTTCAAGTTCTTTTAGAGGCAGCGGATTTATATCCGCTGCACTATTACTTGGTTCTTGTAACGAACGGAAGGTCGGAGACCTAAAGACGCTTCCTCAAGCGCAAAGCTACGGCAGCCCCGCTGCACATACTGCTGTATCGTCCGTATCGTAGTACTCTCGAAACAACGTGCCGTATAAGTCATGTCTACCAACTAACCATTCTTGGAAGTTGTCTGCAAAACTAGCTTTAATGACCGACGTATTCATTGATCAGTGCCACGACTTGCGGACCCACGAGCACACCGATTTTACTGGCGATGGTTTGTGATTGCCACATAGTTGTATGCCGCGCGGTCACTCTGCTTTCACGTTGATTTCAGCATACAAAAGCAAGTTAGGAAGCAGTCACTAATAGTATTAAAATACTGTCACACTTTAGCACAATTCTCGTCATGTCCTCGAAAAATAAATTGGTATGCATAACGCCTACGATGCATCACGGACCTCTGTCGGAGTTGTCTTCTCTAGAAATTTTATGCTCTTTTGTAAATTTGTTGTCATTGCGACGCATTTCGAAAACCAAAATTACTATTTTCACATTACTAAAATATCCTGTTTTTTTAAATTTTGAGCTCTGTACTAATTAATGTAAGTAGGTAATTCGAGCCAAGAACATGCTAGGATGGCACGTTTATTTAATGTGCAATGACGTGTAAAGTACTGACTTCGGTAGAATAAACGTGTATAGGTTAAAACCTATACGATTTTTGTGAGCTTTGCTAATGTGGTACTGTTGTTAAGTTCACTGCAGAATATCGCCCCCTGGGGAATCCTTCAAAGGCTTGCTACACAGCATCACCATATCACATAACTTAAATTGCACAGACCAAGCATGTCTGTCGCCTCATCGATATTGAAGTCTCATGACTTGGACTTTATTACCACATCAGCCTTTAGATTTTTTAATCTCTAGATTCTATAGATGCTATATCCATCTCTATTAGTAATGGACTTTCTCAATTGGCCACGAATGCCAAATTCGAAACCTTTTTTGATCATATGGTCTCTTCTGTATTTGTTGTCGTGTTCTCAAACTGCTTAAACATAAAATATGATATGCGATATAGTAGCCCCATTTCCAGCAGCTCCAGAATTATAAGATACCACAAACCCCTCACGCAGTCAAACACGCCGCTTAAATGGCTAAATGTTTCCTTAATCTAATGGACCAACCACTTTCGGCATGATAATGCAGCTCAGATCGCTCTAATTTGGGACCTATGGTTTGATAAATGTCGTCGTAATGGTCGCCTGATAGTTCAAACATTCAAGTATTAATGGTGACAGATACAGCAGGTTCGTGTACGCAATTGCAAGATAAGTTTTCCTTCAATAAAATGAAATGGCCATTGTTTTTATACATGTCATCCACCACAAATCAATCATGATTATGGTAAAGACGGTCGTCCTTCGCACATAATTCTTGACCAAATGAGAGCTCTCATATAGTAAAAGAGTACCAGCTTTTCCTCGTGCGTAGACTTTACCTGTCGAGTCATTGTAAGTTACAAATCCTGTAGAAGTGAAATCCACCTGATGACTTGATACAAAGTGGATCTTTAGGCCTCAAGAGCATTTTCTTAGCCACGTCGAGTCTCCCGAATCGTTCATTTCAATACGTGGTTGATCTTTGACGTTCGTAGCGTTAAAAGTAAAAAGCTTTCTCGTTTGCTTATTAGTGGTATGTGAGAAGTGAACAAAAGCATGTGTGGTGGCGAAGGCAGATCATAAAAGAGGTGAGCTGCAGGTTTTGTTTGATTGCGAACGGAACCCACTAAAGATATTAGTAACATGTCGTTCATGATAATCAAGTCCACCCTAGACGTAGATCTCTTGTACAATTCTGAAATATACGTTGTCGCTCGCGTCAGTGTACAGGCAGGTTTTTCGTGGCAGTAGTTTCATCGCACGCACGTCACGGTGTGATACTACGTGCCACCAATAAACCTTTACTCAAACGTGATAAAAGGTCGCAGCTTAACTTAAGAAGTTGGACACAATGGAAAACGTATGTGTACAATTCTATTTCATTTAAGAATTTATCCGCTTGCATCCATGGTGTCTCCTCGAGGATATGCTATCCTCGAAAATCGAGAAAGTGTGACTAAGCCTCAAAGTTTTGATTTTGAGATGAAAATCAAATACGAAGGCATCAGGAATCCGTGCGTTTTAAGCTGGACTGATCTGAGCTATATGGTCAAAATCAAGCAATCTCCAGAATTGCCACGTGGTACCAAGACCATTCTAGACCGTGTCAGCGGTCGATGCGCACCAGGAGAAATCACGGCCATCATGGGTCCATCTGGTTCCGGTAAGACGACGCTTGTTGACATGCTGGCCGACCGTATCAGTTCTGCTGACGTGTCTGGCGTGATTGAAGTCAACGGTGCGAAACGAGACTCCAAGACATTTCGAGTTGTCACTAGCTACGTGGCTCAAGATGACACCTTGCTGGGCTCTTTTACAGTGATTGAGACCATGCGAATGGCCGCCAGGCTAAGTGTACCGAGTTCCGTCACCTCGCACGAAATTGAAATTCGTGTGGAAAATATTATGGACGCTATGGGTTTAAGCACAGCTCGTGATACGCTTGTCGGAGATATTTTTCGTAAAGGATTATCTGGTGGTCAGAAGCGTCGTTTGAGTATCGCTATTGAATTGCTGTCAGATCCAAGTATTCTCATTTTAGATGAGCCAACAAGTGGACTTGATTCAAGTGCAGCTCACAATGTAATGAAATTTGTGTTAAAGCTCTGTGCCGAGGGTAAGACGGTGGTTTGCACGGTTCACCAACCATCGTCATTAGTATACGAAATGTTTACTAATGTCATTATTCTGTCGGCTGGACAGACCGTATATTGTGGACCTCGGGCAACAATTATCCCACACTTTGCCTCACATGGATACGACTGTCCACACTACATGAATCCAGCTGAGTATTTTATTAGTCTCGTCAACACTGATTTCGACGACCACGCTGAAGTGTCCAAGCTCATTTATTTGTACACACAAAGCACGGCAAACAAGCATGTTCAAGATGCTATCAATCGAGACCGAACGAATCTCACGCATCTGCCGAATATTCAAAAACGACCACCGTCTGCTCTTCGGCAATTTAATGTCCTCATGCACCGCAACATGATCAACAATATTCGCAATCCCGGCATCTATTGGATTCGGCTATTCATGTATTTCTGTCTGAGCTTAATGGTGGGTACAATGTACTTAAGCTCGAACAACGATCTGTCAGAAGAAGATCTGGTACCGATGCTATTCTATGTACAAGCATTCCTGGTATTCATGTCAGTCGCTGTGCTACCATTTTTTATCGAACAACGTACAGTTTTTGCCCGTGAACGAGCAAATAATTCGCTTAGTGTAGTAAGTTATGTCTGTGCTAACTTTCTCGCCGCACTTCCAGGAATTTTTCTGATCGCGGTGATGTCGACGGCTCTTGTAGTGTTGTTGGCGGATCTGAACGCAATCGATTTTTTTTTGCTGAATCTTTTTATGTCACTTGTAGTTGCTGAATCGATGATGCACGTTATTGGTGCAGCTGTTCCTCACTACATCATTGGAATTGCTTTAGGTGCGGGCGTTTTCGGGATGTTCATGCTCTGTGAAGGGTTTATGGTCCCTCGCAATTCGATCCCGAGCTACTGGAAATGGGGCTACTACCTAGCATTTCATTCACTATCGTTCGAGTCTTTTGTTTTCAAGCAATTTGAAAAGTCAACAACAAGAGAGGGGAAGGCCATTCTGATCAAGTATGGTATGGAAGATGTGGATGTCACCTGGGATATGTTTCTACTGGTAGGGTACATTTGTGCTTTCCAGACAATATTTGCCTTCATTTTATGGAAATTTCATACTGGTCGTCGCTAAGTGGACGAGCGAAACGTCTTGGTCCAAACAATAGTACTGCTTAATTTCATGCATGCGTTTAGCGATTCTCCCTTAAGTGATACTAAATTATTTTTTGACGGACCTCGAGCGAAATATACTGATTGCTTTCTTTTTTCTGCAAGTACCTTAGCACGTTTGATCTAGTAAGAAGCATTGAGATGTCAAGTAAATGAAGCAGATCAAACAACTGATCAGCATCACGCGACAACAAATTGTCTGGATGGAGGAGTATTGTGGTATTGGTAGACATCTGAGCTTACTAATAAAAAAAAATATTAGGTTATTTTATAGGGAGAATAAAAAAATGCCCAACTTTTGCCATATATAAAAAAAAATATCCCAACTTTTCAAAAAAT